AGTATTAATATAAAAACGTGCAGTATCGATTTCGAAAATGTACAGTATTGAATTTTGGGATTTGTGAAAATGTCTATTTGCGGCTATCCCAGATTCCTGCTTTGTTCAAAAAATGTGAATTTTCCTCGTCAGTTCGATATAGAGTTCATGTATTGTAATTCTCGTATAACCATCGGAAAGAGTCTCTTATCAAAACTTAAAACAAAGCGAAATGTCCAGAACCAAAAACAAAACATCTTCTGTAAATGTCAGCATTGCTGTAAATTTCGTAATTTGATCTTGTCCAAGAAAAAACATTCAGTAATAATTTATCAGTTGCCCTATCATGTTCTGGGCATCTAGCAGAAGCTCACTTAACTTAGCTAAAATAAAGATAAAGAGCCTAATAAAACGTTTTAGTTAATAGATCACCTTTCTTCAAACAGAAATTTAAGACAGAGTCACGCAGTTTGAAAAATTATGACCGTGACTCTCTGGGAGATGGCTATGTCATGTAGATCGGATGACCCTAATAGGATGGCTAGCAATTTCTACGATCTCTTTCTCGCTGTCTTGGATGTGCATTCCCCGTTGAAAAAAGGACCGCTAAGACTGGGCATGCACATGTACTATGGATTTCTCCAAGCATCAAGAATTTGATGTGTGAGAGAGACCATATTAAGAGACGGGCTGAGAGAGGTCCAGCACTATGGCCAAGATAAAAGCAGCTTCGAAGCCAGGGGCGGTCTGGCGTCAAAATCGCAGGGTGGTTAGAAAACTCAAGGGCCCGGTTTGGGGTGTGGCGGGAAAAATTGAGCCACACCCACTAAAAATGTGGCTTAGAATACGATTGATTCAATAAAAATTGATAATAAAGCAATACGCTAAACAGCAGCAGTATATCGACTTTAGTTCGTAAATTCGGACCCAATTGGATCCATACCTTTCCTCTCGTGTAAACAGGCTTTAAAATCCCACGTAGAGTTAAGAATCAAGATCAAAACTTATTTAAATTCTCAGAATTTCAACTCTTTTCGAAGAAGTGCAAATGAATCAGCAAATTGGCCAATGACTTGCTCGTAATCAAGTGGAATGTTTTCTCTACTTTTGAAATTATCAGTAGAGCTGAATAATCTTTCAAAGGAAACTTGGGTGCAGCTAAGTGTTATCAAGCATTTATACGCGTTGTAGAGGGAAGGGTATGCTGTTAGGTGCATGTTGTATTCACTAATTTTTTTATAAAAACCAGTAAATTTAGGTTCAGGCTGACTGTTCTTAATTTTCGCAAAAATCCGAGGGTGGATTGTCCTTAATTTGTTCTTAAATTAATAGGGTATAAGCAGTGCGATTGCTAGCTTTTTCTCTTTCGGGAGGTGTTCAGGCATTGCTTGCCAACAAAGTGAGTGAGACAGCCTTCATTTGACGACAAGATTGGATATTCACCGAAAAGCAACCATGGCTAAAAATCCTCGTTTTCGGATAAAATGTTGTTCAAAAATGCGTTAATCAGTAACTCAGCCTTAGCTTGTTCCTAATTTGATCTCAACTTTTGACCAGTTTTGATGCTCATATTCTTATAAAATTGTTATATATGATAAAAGATATAAATATATAAAAAAAATAAAAATGAGCGTCAGTACAAAGTTTTGAATGCGCAGGGTATGCACAGTTGGCAAGCTTTTACCCTTTTGATAAAGGGTGTCGATGTCGACTTTTGGGTCCTTTCTCTCTTTGTGAATCCCCACCTTGAAAATCACAGTTTTCCTCTCCATATGTTTCTTCTCTAAGAGCCTGTTCCTTGAGATCATCTGTTTTCAGGATCTCTATTTCCACCAGTTGTTGTTTTCACTTGATCGATAAGCTGCTGGTAGCAATTTGCAAATGCCAGCAATTCTGACCTTCTATGAACTTGAAATCTTGAAAAAAGGCTCTTATTGCTCTTTTGCTTCCTCTTTGTGCCAACAAATCTTCTTAGCATTGTTAAATCCTGATACAGATCTCTGTAACCAGATGATAGTGACGACCCCTTATCACTCTTCTGAATTTCCTATTTTGAATTTTACGTTATTTTCATTTACTGAAGCCCCCCCCTCTAAATAATTGCAGCCTAAGCCTTATGTCTGTATAACAGTGTACTAAGTGGAAATAAATACAATGAGCAGCCGCCCCCCCCCCCAAATATGAATTTCGTTCCCACAGCACTGTCTCTGACAGTCAGATACCCTGGGCATCAGAAGCACATAAATTAGATAGCGGAAATAGAAGATAAGAGTACGCTTAGTCGCTTCTCTGCTTGGCATTCTGTTTACGCGCTCTAAATTTTGTGGCTCTGGGACCCAGGGTACACGTAAGATTGAACACATGGCTGAAACAACAGAAACTGAGGGGCAAATCACTGCTTAAAATCACGTACGCTCTCGAAAATAATCACATTTTAATCACAAATTAATAACATTAATCACAAAAAAGTCACATTAATCGCATAAATATCATATCAATCCATAAAAATCACCAGTCACTTGAAGCGCAAATATTTGAATCTTTGGTCACGTTTATTCGTCTATGTTATTGAAAAAAATTAAATGTCCCTTTCAAGGTTTTCCACATTTTTATGGACATGTTCAAAAATCTGTCAAAACACTCGGGAACATGAGCAAAAATGAAGGCCTCGTTCTCACGAAATATCATTTTGTTACCGATTATTAAGTACTTCCAAGCTGGGGCGTTGTGGCTAGGCGGAACACCGGGAAATTTCCCGGTGGGCTCCTTTCAAGTGAGTTTGTAAAACCCAGGACAAACAGACCTCTGTGAAGGAGATGCGTGGAATATGAACAGGGCCACAGAGAAGTGGACAAAGAAGGGCAAACTGTCCCAGGGCCTCGAGGTCTAGAGGGCCTCTTAAAGCCAGGAATTCCAATTTAAGAACTAAATTTTAACGAAACGCAACAAAATATGCCTGAAAAATGCTGTAAAACGCTGTAAACGACTGTAAAAAACATTCTGAAATATATATCAAGCTAATTTAAAGGGTGTGGGCAAAAAGATTTTCTGCTCGCTCCGCTCGCAGTCCACCTAAGTGCTCTGTCACGTTTGTGTTTGTATCAAATGTGCACTAAAGCATTGAATTTGTTTCACATTTTTGCAGTCTTAAAGAGACTGTAGTTAGAGAAAAGAGAAGACACCACAACAAATATGGCAAATGAACCTTTAAAGATGATAAAAACTGGCATCTTTTTAATTGTTCGCAGGTGCATGGTTTCTAGGTACGTACCATTTTGGCGACCTGTGGTTTGAGATTGGATATATCATATAGATGAGTGGGCCCCCTTATGATCATTTTCTCCCGGTCCTTTTCTAGGGGCCACTACGCCCCTGTTTATACTCATTTCCCGTTGACTACTGATCTACGTAACAAAAATTTCACGAAAAACTGTGGTTTAATTTGACCTATGACTTGGCCTACCATCATGTATTTTCGTTTTATTGATGTATCTTGCCCTATGTCACCTCTTCAAACGGGTTTGATTGCACAGAAACCTATTTGAAAGCACTTTCGAATATGTGATTAATTCTTAAAAAGTCACGAATTAATCACAAATTAATCACTCTAATCACTAAAGAAATCAAATTAATCACATACTAATCACTCGTGATTATTAATCTCGTACACCATTTTCAGGAGTGATTTGCCCCTCGACGGAAACCAGGGTTTGGGTGGTTTGAAACGCATGTTTTGGGACTTTAATCGCAATATAATCAGTCTAGGGCATTAAGTATTTGACATTAAGTTAAACAATTTTCTCCAACGCGGAAAGGCCCGTAAATTTTTTGTACACAGGGCCCGGGTGGCGATCGCCACTTTGCAACCCGGGCCAGACCGCCCCTGACCACACTCGTTGCTTGTAATTATTCTTCAGCACAATGCATCCCTCCCCGTATCTTTAGACCTATAAAATACCTTCGGGGTACACTTTCACGACAAAGATTTCTAATTTAGCCTTACCAAGAGGAAAGAAATTTGATTCATATCAAATTTCTTGTCTACAAATTCAATTTGACAAACTAAATATAAAACATTCGCACTGTCCTACTCATGCCATATTAGGTTCTAAACGACTGACAGAAAAATTCAAGAATTATATATCTAAAATGTTCTATATTATTAGGTAATAGACTTAAACAGTTTTTTCTAATCTATATTGAGATAAAAATTGCAAACATATACTTTTTCAACTCATAAAAACACGACAAGCCACTGCCATATTCCCCCCGTAACTGCGTAAACTAAGAGAGCCATAATTTTTAAAATTCTCTTTAAAAACCAGGGCCTATTTTAGTGTGCAGTATTACACACTTTGTGCAGTATCAATTTAAAAACGTTTAGTATTGATTTCCAAAATGTGCAGTATTGAATTTTGGGATTTGTGAAAATGTCTTTTTGCGGCTATCCCAGATTCCTGCTTTGCTCACAAAATGTGAATTTTCCTCATCACTTCGATATAGAGTTCATGTATTGTAATTCTCGTATAACCATCGGAAAGATACTCTTATCAAAATTTAAAACAAAGCGAAATGCCCAGAACCAAAAACAAAACATCTACTTGTAAATGTCAGAATTGCTGTAAATTTCGTAATTTGATCTTGTCGAAAATAAAACATTCAGTAATAATTTATCAGTTGCCCTGCCCTAACATGCTCTGGGCATCTAGCAGAAGCTCACTTAACTTAACTAAAAGAAAGTTAAAGAGCCGAATAAAACTTTATTGTTGTACTGTCCAGACAAAACATGAGATAGTAACTCCGTTTACAAGAGATAAATGAGTATGTTTATATTCAGGTTTTGTAGCTACTTTTTGTTGTGTTGCTGTTTTGAAATGTCATTGTTGATTGTGTATATTATCGTCTGTCTGTTTGTGATTTCTGCGTCATGGCGTATACACATGTTCAAAATTTGGGCCATTTCCTCGCTACACTTGCATGGCCAAGATACCTGGGGTTTGCACTGGTTTGCACTGATTGCAACAAAAAATTTCCTATAAAAAATAAGATTATAAATGTGCAGTATTAAAAATTTCTTAAAATAGGCCCTGTTAAAAACCCCAAAAAATTGTTATGTGTTGTTGATTTATATCTCCTCTAACTACCTGCATCAGAAAAGGCACTGAAATAGTTGTGAGCCACGAGAAAATCATTCATTAAAACAAGCAATTGTCCATACTGAACACTTTTGCAGCTCGCTTTTTGCCACTATTTAAAATGGCGGAAGTTAACAAATTTGCCTCACTCGGCAGTACGCATGACCCGAGTTAGACATCTAGCGCCTTCGGCGCTTCCATATCATTGCAACAAGAACAGCTGAGGGAGTAAAAATGGACGGCGAATTGTTGGGAAGGCAAAGGGCGCGCGAGTTGAGTTCTGACGAGGAAAACTCAGATGACGAAGGCTGTTATGGCTCTGACGATCGATCTCACACTGGTGTGGATGATATCCAAAGGGCTGCCTCATCAGGTGTGACCATGGGTGGTGCAAAGGTTTGTTTTGCTAAATTTCAGATTCCCACTCAGCAACACACACATTCTGTACACCGAACAGTGCAGGTGCCTGTAGCCAGTCTGGTTAAAGCAAAAAAGATTAAGGACTCACTAACATAAGACTTTGCGTTGATGCCTAAAACATCGTAGAGTTTCATGCTTGATTCAGTCGGTAGGCAAGAAAATAGTAGGAATGGAACAATATTATGTATTATTTAAAGTTAAATAAATTATAGAAACATTTCATTTTCAAAACAGTGTTTCGATATATTGTTTGGACTGTTTTGCACAATAATTACAATGAGCAATTACATTACAGGCAAAAAGGAAAATATTTAGAGGAAAGTAGAGTGATATATTAACAAGTTGATATTGCTGAGGAATCAAACGAGGGCCTATTCTATCTAAGTAGCTTAACCCTGACAATTTCTTAAAAAAATTATCAATTTCTATAGGTTTTCTGTTCTGTTTGAACTTCTTTTGGCACCATACTTTCACATTACATCTCCAACTCAGCCTGACTCGCGAGAGAGCTCTTTGTAGAACTTTCCCTTCCTGCCATCAGAGTTTCCTTTCCCTTCCCTTCAGAGTTTGTATATTTCAATTTCAGTTATTGTCCTTTGGTCTAGTATTTTTCATCTTCTAAATCATTACAGAAATTTGAACAGATACAAGAACCTGCCCTAAGGTTTCTCCATAATGATCATACAAGTTCGTATAACGATCTGCTTGTGAAGTCAGACAAATGCACGATGCTCGTTGCTTGTCAAAGAATTCTGTGCATTGAAATATTCAAAACAGTAAAACAGTTGAACCCACCTTTTATGCAGAGTATTTTTAAATTACATTTGTCAAATTATTCATTAAGAAATTCAAATAACTTAGCCCATGTTAGACCTAATCAAACAACATTTGGATCCAAAAGTCTTAAATCCAGCAAGCCACAGAATTGGAATGGCCTACCCAACGATCTGAAATCCACAGAAAATTTGAAAAGTTTTAAGAATCTAATAAAACGATTTGCAAATGTAGTGCCTGTCAGCTTCTGTCAGTAAATGCAAGTTAATCTTCAATTTAGTTTCTATAATTACTTTAATGTACTTATTGGTGTCTATGTTCGATTTTGATTAGTTAACATTGTATATTTATTTATATATTGTTAGTCATTGTTTTTATATTTAATTTAAATAAATTTTACTAAAAAATACAATGAACCTAAATATACCACTAATTTTGCAGTATATAAGAACTAGGAATAGCAATGCTTATCAAACCTTTGTTGCTAAATTTCAAGTTATTGCAATCTAAAATCAACAAGCTAATAGAGACTTTGAAAAATGTATGTAAATTATAATTTTTAGTTCAATAACTACTGTATTTTATCTATTAAACACCCTCTCTCTAATAAACACCACCTTCCAATAAACACCTTTATAAAACAGATTTTTAAAAATAAACACCCTGCCTTTATGTTGAAAGAGACATACCATACAATCATCATGTTGGGAAATGCCCTTGGTTCCAATGATAAAGAAATATCATGTTCCAAGGAGGGAAATAAGCCATGCCTTGTAGGTTATGAAAAGTTTAAGACCGCCATATCTTGTGATGACAACAAGAATGAGGGTCCATTTGAAATAGCAAATTCAGACACGGAGAAGAATCTATCAAGTGAATTAGATTCAGAAAAGGAGGAGGATGATTTTTTAACTTTTGATTGGCTTTAGCATGGATTTATTTGAAGAAAATATGTTTTTCTTGCAAAAACATTTTTCAATAAACATCCCTGTCTAATGAATTCCAAAATTCGCCCCTCTTTAAAGCCAGAATGCTCAATAAACACCCAGGCATCCAATAGGTCAAATACTGTATTGAATGTTTATTTGACATTTTTGCAAGTGTGACTTCAAAATAACTAAAATGTTTGAATATGAAAACAGGAACTAAAGGCACTAAAAACAACAGATAAAATTAGTATACAAACAAAAACGTCACAAAAAATTATATGTACTTGGAATGTATCAATACTTAATTATATTTCACTGAATAGGACAAAAAATTTGTTTGGTTTCTTCAATCAAATCTTGTTGGTCAGAAAAACACCTTGAGAGTTGGATGTAAAAAATTGCATGTGTTTTTGTCTTGGTCCAATCTTCAGATCACCAAATTCGCTTAATCCTGAATGCACCATTGACATACAGGGACGATCCTTATTGCCAGGTGGATATCAGGCAATAAAGAAAACGTTCATAGTCTTTCATTAAGCTTCTTTAAGTATTACTCAGATTTGATATATCAGAAATTTCATATTGTATCAGATTTTGTATATTCAACCATCAACTGAAATAATTTATATTTTTTCCATTAGACTGGTCCAAAAGGTGTGATACAAGATTACAAACGCTACAAGCAATTACAACAAGAGCAAAAACAAGCAGAAGAGCAACGGAAATTGAAGTATATTAAAGATACTGCAATCACCTGCAGAAGTGAGGTATAAATGTCACATTCTGTTGAATGTTGGATATTGAATGTTGATGTCATTGTTGTAGACCTATTTCACACTGTAGGCTATCCAGTGGTTTAGCCGGCGAGGCCAATTTTGCCTTTTTTCTAGAAACCATACAAAGGGATATGCATTTTGTCATTATAGTTTTTTAGAAGTTAAACTTAATTGATAAGCAAACCAATTCATATACCCAGTTGTTGCCTGAGCCAAATTGAGAACTTTGAAACGTGACTGGACTGCACATCATTTAAAACTTAAGAACTTTCCCCATGCAATTTTACTTTTTACTAGGCTTAGGTCTCCTATGAAGTATAAGACGAAAAGCTTTATTATATCAAAATATTTTTCCTTTTTCAAAGCCATTTTCATTATTTTTGGACTACAAAAATGTTTTTTTTCGAAATCAGTGATAAAGCAAATTAAGTGTACTTTATGATGTTTACACAATGATTTGTTTAAACTGACCAAATTTGCCTCTTTAACGAAACATTCAACATAAGTCTTTTTCATTATTTTTAATTCCTGTCTATAGCAATTTAAACAAGAGCTTTGAATTGCATTTCTCGACGGTTAAAGTCTCCTTCATCACATCCAGATTTTGCTTTCCATCATGAGAACATCAGGCATTTCTAAGGTTAGAATATCTGGGCTTTCCAAAAAAGGAAAAAAGTTGCTGTTTTTTTAACAAATAAATATTAATGAAAAACAGTCGGCTATAGTCTACTTGCTTTTCTTGCCTTTTTGTTGAATTTTCTCGCAGGAAAAACTTTAGGAAGCCACCGTGAAACATAGCTGTTGTTAACCATGCTCTAAAAATTTTTATGTCTATTATGTTCTTTGGTCAATGATCCTGAAACCAAGTTTTTGGATTGAATTATGATTTTATCGTTCCTCTCCTGTATCCCCTTCAAAGTTCTTTTGCTGTTTATATCTTCTAGCAGTTGTTTTTTTTGGTACTTTATTTTTTGGTTGTATAAACGTCTTTGATTTCAGACACATGTTCGGTCCAGATTTCGCCACTCAGTGGTTTAAATTTTACTTAGGACTGTTTAGAGCGCATTTTTTAATGGGTCAATTCCAAGAAAACTGGACTGTTTCTAAGACCATACTCAATGAGCAAGATCTTCACTATAACCCTGATGCCATTTTTGCAGCCTGCTGACCACTGTCTCACATACTGATAGTATATGACTGTTACAATTATTTAGTTAGGAAAGGTGTTTCCATTTAAGTTACTCTGGGAGGTTTGCAACTTAAAACCAATGAACGTAAACATTTGTGCGCGTACACATCATTTTAAATATTGCAGTTTCCTACAATTGTCTTTTTTTGAATGAATCTTGTATTTTCAAGTTTAACTTACACTTTCGTACTTGTAAAATCGAATACATACCTTTGTTTTTGTTTGAAGATCTTATTTGAACATTTGTCGCATATTTTCTGCCGAAAAGCTTTTAGGCCTAAAGCAAACCTGTTTGTCTCTGTTGTTACTCACACTTGACAACATCTCTGTTCAAAATTCGAAGGCTTATTATAAAGTAAAAATTGTACTTAATGAACTTAAGCTTGAAAGTATTAAACGTGGTATTTTATTAGTTATGGTTATGGGTGATTTTTGCAACGTACGTAAAGGTATTTTGATTTGAACTTCCAAATGGTTTTAGAGTTACTTTAATCTAAATTTCCCTTGTCGTTCTGTTAGAAAGAAGATCAGGAAGATGAAGATTTAGAAGAAGATGATGATTTCTTACGAGAATATCACCAAAAACGTCTACAGCAACTGAAAGTAGAATCAGAACAATATGTGCTTGGAACAAGGTCAGGAGGCATTTCAGACTTATCTTTGCTTGATTTAAGCCACTCAATAAAAAGAAATGGTGTAGATACAGTTTCCTTGGTGGCCCATCGTTGTAAAGCACGATAGAGATTGGATTATGCACAAGAAAACAAGATAACAAATTTAATAAACTTTTTTCACAAAAACGACCCCTTTCATGTTCTATCTGAGTTGTCTTTCCTTCAAATGAGATCCATTGCTCATCCTTTTTTTAAAGAAATTATAATATAACGCTCGTTTCAAGGTTATAAATGCATTAGGTCATAGAGTCAATGGTCTAGGAGACTTTTACAAATCTCAGAATTTTTTTGATGAATTTTTCCGATCATTCTTTCCTTATTTATATCAGTATTAGATTTTTTAAATAAACAAATAAAAATACTTTTCTCGTTTTTATTTTATTATTGCTTATAAAGCGACTTTGGTGTTTAAAGCAGACGGTTTTAATTTTGATCAAAATGGAAATGGTATAAAAAGCCGGTTAACAATGATATTTATGTCAGAGATACTTACGTCAGTGATATTTACGTCAGTGATATTTACGTCAGTGATACTTACGTCAGTGATATCTACGTCAGTGATATTTACGTCAGTGATACCTACGTCAGTGATACTTACGTCAGTGATATTTATGTCAGAGATACTTACGTCAGTGATATTTACGTCAGTGATATTTATGTCAGAGATACTTACGTCAGTGATATCTACGTCAGTGATATTTATGTCAGTGATATTTACGTCAGTGATACCTACGTCAGTGATACTTACGTCAGTGATATTTATGTCATGGAGATACTTACGTCAGTGATATCTACGTCAGTGATATTTATGTCAGAGATACTTACGTCAGTGATATCTACGTCAGTGATATTTATGTCAGTGACATTTACGTCAGTGATACCTACGTCAGTGATACTTACGTCAGTGATATTTATGTCAGAGATACTTACGTCAGTGATATCTACGTCAGTGATATTTATGTCAGAGATACTTACGTCAGTGATATCTACGTCAGTGATATTTATATCAGTGACATTTACGTCAGTGATACCTACGTCAGTGATACTTACGTCAGTGATATTTATGTCAGAGATACTTACATCAGTGATATCTACGTCAGTGATATTTATGTCAGAGATACTTACGTCAGTGATATCTACGTCAGTGATATTTATGTCAGTGATATTTACGTCAGTGATACCTACGTCAGTGATACTTACGTCAGTGATACCTACGTCAGTGATACTTACGTCAGTGATATTTATGTCAGTGGTACTTACGTCAGTGATACTTACGTCAGTGATACTTACGTCAGTGTTATTTATGTCAGTGATATCTACGTCAGTGATACTTACGTCAGTGTTATTTACGTCAGTGATATTTACGTCAGTGATATTTTTGTCAGTGATGCTTACTTCAATGATATTTATGTCAGTGATATTTACGTCAGTGATATTTACGTCAGTGATTATTACGTCAGTGATATTTACGTCAGTGACATCTACGTCAGTGATATTTACGTCAGTGATATTTTTGTCAGTGATGCTTACTTCAGTGATACTTACGTCAGTGATATCTACGTCAGCGATATTTATGTCAGTGATATTTACGTCAGTGATATTTGTGTCAGTGATATTTACGTCAGTGATATTTATGTCAGTGATATCTACGTCAGTGTTACTTACGTCAGTGATATTTATGTCAGTGATATTTACGCCAGTGATATTTTTGTCAGTGATGCTTACTTCAGTGATATTTATGTCAGTGATATTTACGTCAGTGATATTTACGTCAGTGATGCTTACTTCAGTGATATTTATGTCAGTGACATCTATGTCAGTGATATTTACGTTGGTGATATTTGTGTCAATGAAATTTACGTCAGTGATATTTACGTCAGTGATACTTACGTCAGTAATGTTTAGGTCAGCGATATTCGATATGTCTTAGCTTTGCTACTAAATAAAGTGATTGGGTAGCCGGTACAAAGCCCTATTCCTGTAGTATGATACCTTCAACTTTTGTGTCGTAAAGGATAGAATTTTCCCACTCCCGGTTGACACTGTCGTGTCACTGAAGTAAATTAAAAGGATAATCTTTGAAACGTCAATTCACAGATCAAAGTTCTCTGTTGTTCACGAGCTGACCTGCCAGGATTTCATAGAGGCAGTGGATAATGTTGATGTCCATGTCACTGTAATTATTTTAATTTACGAGGTAAGTCCTTTATTTATTTCAATATTCACTTTCATAATGTTCAAATTTGGCTTGGAAAAATGACAACGAAATCGCTTAACCAAATTGTCATCACATTTTTAATTTCTTTGTTCCAATTTGAGTTTGTTTGTTGTGTCTAGTGATCCTTGTGAAGGTGGCCGTTGTTAGTGTCACAAAGGGTAGTACCAAAATGGTTAGCTTAAAGGCGGTTAATTGGTTTACGGAAACAAAGAATTGAGTTTCTATTTCAGTGAGTTTTCATTTCTTAACAAAGACTGTGTTTTACTTGCTTATGCTCAGTTCTACTAATTTGAGACGCTTCTCTAATTTCTCGGACCCTAGAAATCCAACAAACAATAGCTAATGAACAGCGCGATATACTGCCTTTAAAGCTATAGAACACTAATCTTCATAGGGATAGTTAGAACTACTCTATCTTATCTATTCTTATCTTATCTATTTACTTATCCATCTCTCAGTTTCTCCTTCAAATTCTGTATTCTGCTTGTAGGAATGTAATACGTCAATCAAACAATGGTACCGCAAGAGTTAATGCACCATTGTTATTTTTTTCATACGTTACTTTCAAGCCGCATCTGGATACAAATTTCAGTTTACTGTAGTCATTTCCTGACGCTTGTACGTTAAAGCATGTCAGACAAAAAATATCTAAGTATGCTATTTATCCGCTATCTGCAAACTAAATATATGCAATTCTAGCTGAGACGAAATTTCGTTCGTCTTGAGGCAAGGAAGCGTAAAATTGGTGCATTTCCAAGGTAGCTCTCAGTTCATGTGCAAAATTAAAGTGTAAACAATGCAGTATGATACTGTATAATTAAAAGCTTAAAGTGAGACTATATTCGTTACGAGTGCAGCAAAAATTGCAATTGACATATGATACTGCAAACTTTTAAACTTTTTGGGATTTGACAAAAAGCCTATCCAAATTATTATAACATTAAAAAATTATTGTTTCTACTCCTATTGTAACAGAATGAAATATTGTTTGCTTTAAAAAGTAAAACATCTAACGAAGGTTTTAAGAAGTTTTGTTATCCTCGTTTTCTCGAAAATGGTAGCCAACATATACATATTTAAATGTGTTCTTTGCAAAAACCTTGTTAACCTTGCTAGAAAAGTTTTGAAGGTAAAGTTCAAGCTAGAAACTCTATTATCCATTTTTAAATTAGTTAGCACCCTATTTTAATTTTCATGATTATGATACAGATAGAGTTTATTTTGAAACAGATATTTAAAATGATCATCAGAATAAACGATCTTTTCAGAAAATTTCAATCAAAGTCTCTTTAAGAATTTCACAAGCGATTTGGTTTTTAAAAATTGAGATGAGAAGTAAAACATGGGTAAATCTATGAATAAATCAATAGAAGGTTTAAATACTGCATCGATTAAAATGATACTCTTCAAAATTTTTGTTGCTGAAACCTCACAGTCTTGCCAGTACGATTTATGTTTTCATTTTTTTTCTAGAATTCACCTCTCTGTTCAAGAATGAATACCTGCTTTGATTGTTTAGCCCAGCAATATCCATACGTAAGTTTTCTTTCTCATATTTTTGAAAAATTATACTTGATTCATTATGAACTTTTAGACTTTATTGTTTTGGCTTTTTTTAGTTATAAGAGAATTACGTTTTTCATCAAAGAATAACCATTTTAATATTTTCATGTAGACAGATTTTTTTATTCGTTATGAAATGTTACAAACAAAATTACCTAAAACTATACCGAACGGAAACTACTATACTACATTACAAGAACGACTAAGAGGAGCAATATATCATGACTACTTTCTAGCACTGGACAAATACGTAAATCACAATATTAACAAACGATTTTTATGATTAAATAAACTACAAAAGAAATAAATCGAAATAAATCGAGAGGAGATTTAAAGATTTTTGTTACTGCGTTATTCAAACCGTTTGGAGGCCTGGATATACTTCAATGTTGCCGTAAGGATTTTGCATTTAGATCAAATGGTAACTGTTCATGGTTATGAAAGATGACTCTTAGTAACTCTTTTTTTGAATGATTCAATAAACACTGTTGAAAGCAATATTGCATGTGCACTGTTGAGAAGATCACGTTTTTTTACATCTTAAGTATGGCAAAGCAGAAAATAAATTCAGTCAGAATTCTAATCTTCAAAGCTGGCAGATGTCAACCGAATAAATAATTAATCATTCTATAACTAAATGGTCTTAATGAACTAGATATTCTGAAATTCATGCATCGCATCTTCCATAAAAACGAAAACTTGCCCTTGGTGTTTCAACGCTACTTCTGTATTAAAGAAAGAAAGCACCCAACTGCAGCAAAAGATAGCAAAGACTAACAGACACCTAAAATAGATTCCATAAATATACTAAAATGCGTTCGGTACAATATGATGTAATCATAACGTAATCAATGCAAGTAAATTGTACCAGGAAAATTTTTTTTTTTTTAAATTAAATAACGACGTTTCGAGCATAGCCTGTTTTCAAGACCGTTTTCTGTTGACTTGATAACGGGCTATGCTCGAAACGTCGTTATTTATTTTTAAAAAAAAATTTCCTGGTACAATTTACTTACATTGATTACGTTATTATTACCTAAAATAGATACCAAATAGAGTAATGGAATCTTGTAATATTATTCTATGTGATATTAGTGTCATATTAGTACTAAGCAAATTTGTTAAACATTAAAAACAAAAAGTTGTCATCAGATATTAAACCAACTTATTTAGCAGATATTTCGCTATACACTCAAATTGTTTATCTTGATATCATTGGAATTTTATGTTTTTCTCATGTTCGTTAAGTTTCTATATAGCCACATTGTAGCTACATGTTTAAATAGTTTAGCTAGTCTTTGTTTGTAAAACCTATAAATTGCATAACTTCGGTTTCCCTTGTCCGCTTTTGATGATTCAATTTGATGATTTGATGAAAATTTATCACTTTATTTGTCTCCACTTTCCTTATTTGCAAGTCACTCAACCTCCCTAATGTGCATGTTTTTCGTTTTTGACCTTTCTTTCTTTAAATTGGCAACCCAGGCTAAATTAGCTATATTTGTCTGCGTTGTATAGAATAATTATTTTGCTAAATCTTGCACTAGGTTGCATCTCTATCGACAAAACTGAATTGACTTGAATTCGTTGAATTTGATCGAAATGTTTGGGGTGAAGTTCGATTACCTCTAAGTCTACCTACTTAAAATCTACCTACGAATGCAATGTAGAAATAGATATTTATACAAACAGATATTCATAAATATTGATCTCGTCTTTATTTAACTAGGTTAAATTCTGTCGCATCGGCGCCTCGGAAGCAGGCCTCAGCACGAAGTTCGTAAGTATAACAGCAAAAATATTATACTTCTTTATTAATTATCAGTTTTTATTGTAATTGTTTATGATCTTCTTATCAAAGTTTAACTAGGTTATTTTGATGAGATTGGCTGGCAATGTGGTAAACGTCAATTGTAGTTAAACTCTTTACGTTGATTCCAAAAGGACGTCACTTGAATATTTTTTATTTTTTATTTTATGGTTTTATTATGTGATTGTTTACTACCATATGGTAATTTGACTGCTTTGGCCATGTTGTATGAAAACAACATCGAAAGAAGATTTCAAAAACTTTTCACTGACACAGTGAGAAAACTAAGTAACAAATTTTTGTTTCTGAGTGCCTCTACTTGTATAAAATTTTCATGTTTCTAATTAACAACTTTCCTAATTTCATTGTAGAAACTCAACGCCCTTCCTACACTTCAAGTTTACAAAAACGGAATTTTAATAGGAAACCATATTCGACTCGGTGACCATTTTGAATCAGAGTTTTATGCAGCTGATGTTGAAAATTTTCTCATAGAGTAAGTATTCTGTTTTCAAAATTATCTCTTCTTTTTCTGGTCAACAAAGCTTTGTCTCCTTATGTGGAATTATGATATTTTAGTTTTTATGTAAGATTGCCTAGTTCATCTGGGACGAATTATTTGTGTGGTGTCCTTTGGAGATGTGGCCTGTAAATATGGATTCAATATAACAGAGATCTTTATGTTAAGCTATTTAAAAGCCTTTAGGAGCAGGTGGTGTTCTGAAAACCTTTGTTAAAACATTTTCTTAAAAATAAGGCACCACAATTCACATTAAACGATGAACAGTAACGAACTCGAGTGTCTGTTCAATCGAAACATAAACTGGGAGTCACTGTACTCTATTTCCTTGATATTATGTTCTTTCTTGTAAATAGCTAAATCCATACCTACATCCAGATTCTCAAATCAACGATTTTACTTGATCCAGAGATGGATTATCTGTTTAAACTGGAAAATCGTGTAATCTAAGAAGATTCCATCAAAATTAGATGTTAGCTAGAAGTATATCTTATTCAATGTCACAATTGATCTTGGTTTTTCAAATAAGTCTAGTGCACTAAATCCAAAGTCATCTTTTTTTAATCTGATGGATTGGTTAAAGCTTGTTGATCGTTATCATTGCAATGTGCTCTGAAATACTTCAGTTAGTTAGGTTGATGACCAGGAAAATCTTGCGTTGTCAAAACGATAGGAAAGAAATTTGAAAAAATTAAATATTTCATCAAAATCATAACGAAGGTTCTCATCCAGCTTGTTTCACTTTCTTCTTCAATAATAAGTCATTTTGCAAATTTTATTTCTCTTTTTTTCGTTCATTTTTGTTTCTGTTCCCTACATTTTTATCATTGCTTTTTGTTTCTTTTTGAGTTTTTATTTTCTTTCCAATTTCTGTCATTTCTTTTTTCACCGCGTAAGATTTCTTGCAAAGCTTTAAAATGTTTTTATAATGTGCTTTTTCATGTGGACTTAAAAACTAGAGCTTTTCTCAAGAGCCATCAAGCTGGAGGTTGGGGTTAAAAATTTCCCCTTAAGTACGCAACTTTCAAAGCAAAAGCAAAACCCAATAATGAATTTATGATTTTAGCTTTCCATCAACTATAATTTATTTAACGCAAATTATACAGACACAGTTCTATTTTGCTCAGTTCTAAAATATATAGACATAAGGTATATTTGGCGGGACCATACCCAACCTAAATTTATTTTCGAAACCATGCAAAGATTGGAACTGAGATTTAATGTTATTAAATCTGAAATCTTAGTCTCTTGAAAAACTATAATTTTATAGCGATATGTTGCAAGAAATGTCATAATATTTATAAGCTAATTCTTTACAACAGTATAAACTTTGGATACTCTTAAAGCAATTTTTGTGTTGCGGACATTTTAGTTGTATAAGTAATGTTTTCCCAGACCAGTTTCATATAGATAACTATAAAGTCTTAAGAAACTGCTCACGATTTGCTCTCAGTGTTGTCGTATCTGGGTGGCCAAATTCTATGAAAATTCAAGTTAATAACAATTACTATTAAATTGAATCATATTGGCCTATCGACAGTTTGAAATGTTAAAGCTCTGTAATGTATACAAAAGCCGTTAGTTGAAACAGGATAAAAACCAAACAGGAATTTGAATATGTAGACACACCTTACCAAGTGTTAGTAGCCCTCATTATCCCAATTAAGCTCGTGTCGGCCATTAGAGTAGTTTAACGGCCTAATCTATTACATTTTCCACCACAGAAGGCATTTATTTGCAGACGGCTAGCAAAATTTATAGTAGATTAAGCTTTTACGATTCTGCAAGTGTTAAGTTAATCTCAGTTAAGTCCACTCCGAGTCAAACATATTTTCTAACAAAGCCAAAAACAGATTTTTGGTTATCTTAAGAACTCATTAGTTGGTTTTTTTATAAATTTATGTAAACATTTAAAGACTTTCAGAACCAATAACTTTTCCAAGTTTAGAACATATGGTAAGATTAGCACATTTTTCCAGTGTCAATTAAGCGCTTTTAATTCAGAGTTTAGGTGGTAGAGACCAGTGGGTCAGATCGTTTATAAAATTTCTTCTAGCCAGAAGTGGATTAGAAGCTTCAGTGAGTTTTAGCATCTAGATTGAAAAACTTAAAAGTATTTCAGGAGTTTTAAGGATATTAGACATTCGCCATTGGAGGTAAATTTAACTTTAAGGGTGTTCTGGGGCTGTTGTGGCTAATTTTAAACCTTATGTAGACGTTTTTATCGATATTTGTTCTATGCTCGAACTTTTGTACAGTGTTAAGAAATAAACATAATAAATTTACTACGAAGCACAACTGTGTACACATCTGACAGAACAGGCATCCAATAACATGCCAGGTAGCACACCGACAATTGTTGCCAAAAGTACTTGGAACACCCAGCACTTGATAATTTATAGAAATATCATAGAAGTTGCAGAAAAAAGCTTACATCCTAATCCCCTACGTCGTTGTGTAGTAAATAAGCATTGTTCAAAGAGTGGGAAAGGGAATGCTGATTTTGCCCTTGAAAACTGACTTTAATGACCAAGACTTTTGGCAGGCATTGTAATACAACGTATCGTCTTCTCATATTCCTCTCTTATAAGAGTTGTATTTAAGTAGGTAGCAGAGTTTAACGCATTTAAGTGTAGGGATCATGAAAATGGAGCTTTGATTGTCTGTTCAGGATTTTAATTTCGAGGAGCCACCTTTAATCACAAGGCAACAAGAGAATGCAGAATTTAAGCAGCTGCTTGTAATACATCATAGTTCCTTTTGGTTGATCGCCCACTAATGCATTGAATAAACCTTCTACAGTAGTCACCAAAATTTTCTAGCTTGTAAGTAAAAACTTAATGAAATTAATTAAATTTGCCCTGGTATTCTCATAAAAATTTATGTCAGTGATTTGGATGGCCCTTACTCTGATTTTGTTAACTAACTTAAATGCTGGAGACCGCAATTTCCTGTTAGAACTGTAAATGCTATTTAGGGTTTACTGAAAAACATTTAGTTCATTTTCATATTCTTATGAAAACTGACTGAACAGATTACAAAATTATACAAAGGGAATATGGATATAACATTTACCACTAAAATAACATGGAAATTTGAATTATTATGAAATAATAAGAGAATGCAGAACAGGAAATATTAGTCAACAGAAAAATATTTTAATGAAAATGTTATGAATTTTTTCTTTAATTTCTAAAACCAAGAATGCACCCCATTTCGAATAAAATATTGCTTTAAAACTTTTGGAACCGAGAATAAATTTATTATTAATAGGAAACTTAGCTGTCCCATGTAGTTTAATGGTTTTTGGGGAATTTTTTTTAAGAACTTCAAAGCTGCATAAGCATCGTAGTGACCAAACGGGAGCAGTTCCTTAATTATTGACCTCCAATCCCAGTTCAGTAGAACTTCGTAATTATTTGGTGAAAGCCTTATAGAGTTTCTTATAAATGAATTCACATTTAAGGAAACAAGCATAGAAAGTGCGATAGTGTATTGCATTTCTAGAATTTAAAAGGTCATGTTTAACAACGAAACAGGCATTGCAGGAGAAAGTGATTACATTTTAATATCAATGTTTAGACACAACACTTTCAAGTATCCTTGAAATACGCTCTTTAAATTGAACCTTAATACAAGTAATTTGTGTCACCCATATCTCATTTGTGTCAATGTTGTATTTTTCTGTATTTCTTTGCAGACATGATGCACTACCTAGTCAGGAATTCAACGCTGCAAATCCAGTCGTGATGCCATCAAGTATCGATGATCTGTCAGACAGTGATTTTGAATTAGACTGATGTATGTATATTTATCATCTAAAAAAACTTGTACTATTTAACACTCGTGTCTTTCAAATTAGCTATTGTCTAGGTAAACACTTTAAACTTGAATATTTTGTTTTATTTTGATCTAAACTTAATACGACGATAGTTTATGTTAATTTAAGCAGCAAGAGAAAAGGAAGGTGTAAATTTAATAGCGTTAAGAAAACTTCAGCTAGAATGTTGGTATTGAAATTTCAGTCAGTTTTTGAAGGAGTTGCAGCAAAATAAGGTTTTTTGTTTCATTTCTCATGTCACATGTTCGATTCAGCGTCCTATATTATGTATTTAGCTATTTATCACAATTAAAGGTAAAGTGGTACTGTGTCCTCTCTTTAGGGGGTCAATGTCAACTCCAGAGGTCTGAATTTCATAGCCAGCGTTTAGATTCCAAAATTATGAAGAGCGTCTTAAGCGTTGTATATTGGTTTAAAGAATATGAATAGTTTATTGGTTTTATAAAATAGTTATTATTTCATAATAAGCAGATAAATGATTAACATATAACTCACTTCAAAAGAATTGCAAAGTAATTATTTAATGAATCTTAAAATTCGAGCAAAAGAAATAGCTGTCAGATTTATGTTCCTGAACGAAAAAACCTGATGTGGGGTAAACAATATTTTGTACCCCTTGGGTTGCAAAGATGCCCTCTTTTAGATATAATATAATTGTTAAATAAATGAAAATAGTTAAAACTGCGAACTTTTGTGTTTATGAATACAACCTTTGTCATTGGTGGTAGCTGCGTATACCTGAATCTAATATATATTTATTGTGTTTTGTAAAAATTTTCAAACCATAGCTCAAACTGTTTTGGAAATCTAGAATATCAAATAGATGTGCTTCTTTGATGATCAGATTCATATCAAAGAGATTCAACGTTTTTTTTAGCAAATTTTCCTTTTCTTAAGTGCTAGCTCATGTGGCCTATTCTCAAGGCGTTTTCAGATGTCAATATGAAGAATAATTTAATTTTAGCGTGTACCACCCAACCGAAAGTCAAGTCTATAACTTGATCAGCTTACGTCATCTTGGCTTGTTGCAAATGTTCATTTTAAGACCCTACCCTAAAAGTGGTGTCTTTTCTATACCGACTCTGTCATTTGACACTGAAGCAAAGTCATTTCATAGTCCTAAGAATTAATTGAAATTTTCCTATAGACAGTAATCTCATTATCCATTTCTTTTATTTTATTAGATCAATGAAATGCATTTCTTGAAGTTACTTAGTTCTTTTTAACTATGCTTTTCTTAACAAAATGCTTAATAAATTCAAGGCTAACTCTTCTGTCAAAAATATGGCTCCTTCAATAATATAATATTTATTAAACAAATTGAAACAATGGAGGTAGAATGACTTTATCGTTTTGACATCCTTAAGCCGCTTTCATCTTAGATTTTGTCAGGAAAGTTGTTCTGTAATCTAAAATCAGAGGAATAACGATATCATTTTGGCTTCGAAAGGAATTGGGTATGGTATTAGAAAGGGGGGACGAAACCTTCAAGACCAACACCAATTAATGTTTACTTTACGTCAATTTTTCCTTTGAACTCAAAGATTTTATTTCTGGGGAATTCTAAAGGAAATATAGACGATGTGACTTATATCCACGGTAATTCTACAATACTTCATGCAAAAAATGAGAGAGGCGATCTGAACATAACAAATCATATAGGTTCTGCAGTATCTGTCTCAAACATTTTTTGGATTGTTCATATTCAATGCTGATTGTAATCATAATACTGCACCATCATTAGAGAATCCCTTTGATCTGTAGCTAGATTTTTTGCTCGCATCAATGTAACGCTTTTATTCTCGATGAAGTTCGACCAAATTGTCTCAGCTTTACATAACATAGTAAAGCAATCGATAGCTTTTTATGCACAGCACCTAAACAGGTCTCCACATAGGTACTGGATGATTCCACCCTTACTTGCCTGTCAACATTGCTTTTATATTCATTCACGAAATCAAAGCTGCCTTTTTAGTTCATTCTTGATAATTTTTCTTAATACCTAAAAATGCATTAATTCAAAAGCACTATTTTCAATCAGCTAATTAAAGACCAGCATAATGCCCTGATAAAAAGTCATCATAGAGTATTCTTCATGGGTCCACTCAAAATCCCTAATAATCCAATTTTGTCTACCCTGGGGATATGATATGCAGTTTCTGTTGCTGTCGTGTCAGCTAATCACCCTCTTATCCCTGAAAGCATTTTCTTTAAAAACTGACATTTATCCCGGTATGCTTGATTTGGTTGAGGTCATTCTCTGTTTAAATTACAATGTTTCTTCCAGAAAGAGCCAGAATGGAAATAATTTCAAATATTGGACCTAAAATACAGACGATGGTAAATTTTTAAAAAACCTAGTGATTAAATTTTTTGTAATTATAAGTTGACGGAGTTTTTCTTTAAGTTCACATCCCAGGGGGTGGCTTGAACTTTAGTGGGGGAGGGGGGGTTGAGAGGCTCCATCTACAATTATTGAATAAAATTCGACAGACCTAGAAGTATCGACTTATAAGTTTGATGCGATTCAAAAATATCAAAATAAAAATCTTATCGCTTAACACAAAAAACTATCAGTTATTTATAACCAAGCTTGTTTCAGATAATAATAAGTTAATTGAAACGACCTTTTACCGCCCTGTTCTCCACATAAAAAGCATAATAACCAATTCATAAAAGATTATTTTATGACATCAGGTCTTGGGGTCTTTGATACACAATAGTATGCGCAGATCAAGCTAATGCAATCTGTGTTAAATCTGATTTACAGTTTACTCATTTATTTCTTTCATTTGGTTGGTTGAACCCTAAAAGTCAAAGAATGACACATTAGGTAGGCCTATCCAAAAGAAAATTCTTGCCCAAAGTTATCAGATGGACCAATATCGGATTGCCCGTATACAAATGTTCACGTTAGCCCTTGGACTTCAAATCAGCTTCAGACTTCATAACTGCAAAAGATTACTTCTTCCATTCGATGTTTGATTGGGTGCTCAGCTCCTACCCATCTCAATCATGGGCGTAGTGGAAGCTAAACGTTTAAGGGGGTTTAGTATGGGTCTTGTCCGAATATTGATTGTTTTTTGATACCGCCCGAATGGGCATGAAATTCAATAAATTTTGCTTGATTAAGGGGGAGGGAAGGGGGGGCTGGAGTTCAACTCCCTGAATAGAGCCAATGTATGATTTTTATTTCAAGAAAGCTTGGCAAAAAGAGAACTCTGCCCCACTTTTACAGGGAGGACATGACACCTGAATTTTAATATTCAACGAAATAATTCTGATCAGAACACTACTTGGGGGTCTATCATTGCCCCAACACAAAGTACTTTTCCTCTAACAGAGGAAAGAGGGGAGCTTTAACGGGACTTCTAGCCTGCTCTGTCGTAAAATCATTTTGTTTGTTGTCCTTGGATACGTTGCCACTTCTTCAATCCGAGGCTGGGAAGCGGGAACTTGAATCGGCCATGCCATGCTGTGTTGTGATGCACCCGATGTGGCAAAGCATCTAATGAACGGGTATGTTCGCAAATAGTGACCAATTGCATGTTTATAGATATTTAAAATGACAATTAAGAAAAGGTTTCTCAAGAGTGATGAAGCAAAATCCTCGATTTGTCATCTTCATTCGTCATGCTAAATCTGAAAAGAGGCTCAGCATTTGGAATAAAACATTATCGAATATTGATTGTATCATCACTATCTGTGTTAAGGAGAGGTTTAAAATGAATTGAAGTAAAATTTAGCATGGCAGATTTGACCTACCAGGAGAACAACAAAATCTCAAGTACTAAAGAGGCCAGGCTGCGGAGAAAGCTTAAGCTATGTTTTCTTCATGCGAACTTCCTTTTACTATTTATGTGGCGTGTACAAAAGTTTCGAAATTTGGCGCGATTTCAAAGTCCCTCATGCAATGCTCTATTGACCTTCCCCATTGATTGGCCTTGGGAAGTTAAAGTTTATGAAAAGGTACTCCAGCCAATTTGTAAAGTCAAGTAAAAGATATTATCATTTATGTAAAAAATTTCTATTCCTCCTTTGCTACAAAAGACAAAAGAAATAGTACAAAAAAATTCTCATAGAAAGTTATGGAGATTTGTTCCATCAGAGCTTAAAGGTAATGTGTCCATATAAAAGGACTGCGTATACCCAACTTGTCAAGCCACCCATCAAATAACAATTTGCGATTGGTTAGTGTTCTTGCAATGCAAAACTGCTCACATGAAAAGCTGACCTCACAGCAGAATAAATAAACAGAACAACTGTAATGACTGGGGCGATGACATGAAAAATCACATGTTTTTAAAAACCTCTGCAGAGTCACTTGCTATAGCTGGACACATTACCTTTAAGCATTTCAACTGAATTATAGTCAACTTCAAAAAATGAATACCTTAAACATTAAAAAACATTACATTGTCACACTAAGATATATAGAAGTAGCATTTGCCATAGATCCTTATCTTTATTAAACCTAGTTTTTAAGTCTAATTAAATAAGAACATAAATTTTGTATCTTGAATGAATGTTCCTGTAATGTATTGAATAATTAATTTATCTCATTCGTGCACACACTTGCTTTGGACTTTTTTAAACCCAAGTTAATTTGTTTTCCACTTTATATGGATCTTGCTAGATATGAATTGTATCAATGCAGAAAACAGTAAACATTAAAATATTTTCATGCTTGAAGCCCAGTTCCTTTTAATGAAATACAGTTTGTTGATTTGATTTTAGGGCTTGATAAGGCTATTTGATAAGGGTTCACCTCTCTAGATTATTTTCAAGACAATATAGATTTGAGCATACAATTAGCAGATTTTCAAGTTCTGTTGCCATTCTGTAAATGTTGGTGTGGCTAAGTTTATGCAACACACCTCTGCTAACACTAGCATGGGTATTGTAGGAACATCCTTGCTTGTGCTAGTCAATAGCATGATTTTATTTTTGAGCAAAGGTTTTGTCTCTTTTAGAATCATTTGAAGAGTATGCTCAATATCCATTATTCTCATCTTAGGTTCCACACCTTCTCCATAATTTGCATTGAATTTTTTCTTCATATCTTACCTTTTTGAGTAATGGTGTTCCCTGTCTATATTTTGTGTATTCTTTTCCGATAATGTATCACATTCTCAAGTTGACTTAGTCTGCTTGTATTGTGTATGCAAATTTCCATGAATGATGCCTTCACTGGACTAGGGAGTTATGATCAACTATTCCATGTTGGATGCATAGACCCTACAATCACAAGCAAAATCTTAACAGAGTGCAACCTGCCTACCAAGGGCATACTGGAACTGTACTTCTGGGATATGTGGCTCTGAAACCTTACCAGGCCTTATATAGGTGTGGTCACTTAGATAGCCTATTTCAGCCTATTTCAGCCTATTGCATTAAAATTGATATTCATTTGTATAACTTTAATCAGTTCCAGATAATTTAGGCATAAAAGCCATTGTTTCCAATGGGCAAAATCTAAGTTAATCGTTATGTATTTATGCATAAATTCAAGAATTTCTCCTCATAAAAGGCCTGCTCTTTAAAATCTGAGGGGCCCCTGTGTTGATCGCTACATAGCCACCCGGGCCAGTCCACCACTGCTGTCTACTGGTTTTGTGTGTACCTTTTTTACATATTTCTTATATCAGTTTATTTAAATCAAGATTTTGACAAGACAACTTTTTATTTTGACCTGTAAACTATGTCCTATTTGGTTTGGAGTTTATTTTATCCTTGCATGAAAATACTTCCTTCTATAAGGTCTTAAGGCTGATCATTTCAAGAAGTATTAAGTAGTGACAATAGAGTTTGTATAGGAGTAGAAATTTTGGAGAATAATATCATTAGTTTGAAACATACT